TCCTGGTGATGTCATCAGTGCATTCGGATGAAGTCACCAGGTGGGAGGTAATAGTACTCTGAAACTCTCGTGCTGTGTTCTCTGGAATATTGTAAACTAGTGCAAAGGAATAGAGAAGATGTATCAGGTGTTTATTGATTTCTCTTGGATCTCTACTCTCTATCTACGCTAGAATAACGGTAAGGAGAGATTCAAACTCTACTGATTCTCTCCTCGTAATGATACAATTACTCATAGCGGATACATCATACATCTGGCCTTGCTTTAAACCATCTTTTGTAGAATATATGAGTTCACTCACCTTAAGATAAGGCTTGGCTACTTGGTTGTACACTTTGTATGAGGCGTTTTTCTATGCAAGGATTACATAATACACGTAGTTGTAAAGTAGAGCTGGGGTATAACTAATGTCATGTCATCATAAAGCTATATTGCTCATTCATCCGTCATCATGGTGCCTCGCCTAAATCGCTTGCCTGTTAGGATTCATCAGCGAGGAATGTATTAGATAAACTAATTGTCCCACCAAAGTGGTGTCTGTCTGTCTGTTTTCAACATAGAACTTTGCACCGATGTGCAACAGTTCAAGTCACCACACTCCCTCCTTGTAGCACACAAAGAAAGAGAAGAAAGTGGAAGAAATGCATAACAGAGACAGTAAACAGAGGTGTGAGACAAAGGAATTGTAATAACAAAGAATAATATAGTTTCATTGGAAATCATAAGTCACAGGGATTGGATGCATCTGCGCTGACCATTGAGAACGATTTTGAGCCAAATCACGAATTGTTTCCAGCCTTCATTGGTTTTTACCGTCCTGAGGACCCCAACCAGGCAGCAGTCTACACCTTCCTACGTGGCTGCCTTAAACTAACTGTTGGGGATTTGATTTACTAATTAAGCCATGTTTTCGTTTGACTACCAATAGCTGGCTCTTTTCCAACTTCACCTTTTCGATGTCACCTAACACTGTCGTTGTTAAGGAAGGCGATGGTTAGGCATGCATGCGTAACACATTTCCTAACGATCTCGATCGATATGGCTACTTCACAGCCACCCCATCGATTGATTGCCATTCCCTCCTTACCTAGCACTTGACGAATGCCTCAGCTCAATATTGCTCATCTTATTATACCACTTCACACAGGAGATAAAATGCAAGCAACTATGATCAAAGACAGCTAGCCAGAGTTTTCATATCTTCTACTTTCAGTAGTCAGGTCTCACAGTCATAAAGGAGGACGGAGCGTGCCTGCCTTTCAAACTTCCATGGCCTGTTGTATGGTCCAGTCCAATACAATCAGGAGAATCATCAATGATATTGGGTCGTCTTCTCTTACTCGTCTTCTCATTTGCAAGTTTTCACTGAGGTTTACAAACGTTTGTTCCTGTGGACTTGGTGGTGTTGAAACGCTTTCTAAATTACTTCATACTCAACACAATCGAAACATTGAATGCTATATTATTTAATGTTATTTAGTGGTATAATTAGCATATATATATATATATATATATATATATATATATACATGCCTCAACCATAATATTTTACTGACATTTACCCCGAGGGATGCTAAATTTTAGTGATGATTAATGTTGTTGTCAATATTAATTATTGTTCACCTGTCATGAATTTATTTCATATGCGAATGATTCCAAAATCTGGACACCTTTCAATCAGATGACAAGGAAGAAATAAATTTATTTGATCCCTATTCTGATGTAAACACCTTAAATCGATCTTTTCTAAGAAAATAGGCTAGTACAGTTATTGTGCCTGATGCCTGTAGACGCGTAAATGATCATTAATTCCCAGGTTTCAATCAAAAGGATGGATCAACATATCTCAAGTCCTCAAATTGATCGCACAGTCAAGGTCTTGATGACCTACCAAGCATTTCACTTCAAAGGTGTGCACACATTTTTCGTCATACATTAACACGAATCTTTTGATGCATCATTTTACAGGGAAATAGTACTTGTTGCTTGAAAGGAAATAAAGATTGTGCCTGTACTGAAAGTCATCTTCTGAATCAGGTTGAAAGTTTGGACCCCGCGCTAACACGTCTCCATTTTTTCAGAACTTCTCTTGCTCGTACCTAAAGAAAATTTCAAAATCTTTTAATGACCCGAATCATCAGTACTATTGTTGTTTCCTTTAGTTCCTAGAGGAACATAGGGCTTCTGACGTACGTCTCTATTGCGTTCAGTTCTCTGCCAACGTTTTCATCTGGCTCCAAGTCTGCCCACATGTTTAGGCGGGTTGGTCTACGGGTTCGAGAACATTTACCAGCTTGGTTCAGCAAGGGGGAAATTAAGTGCATATAAAGCTCGATCCTGTCCTGTCACACTTGGTCGATACTGGACATCGTATCGATGTCAACACAGCGATCAGGGTTATATACCGAATTCAGAAGTCGTTATCACACGTAGTTCGCTTACGTCTCCTACACATAGCTGAAGCTGTTGCAATAAGATCGAACAAACCGGAATTTTTGTATCCAAAAAGAACAAGTCCAGACGCTGTTTCTACCGTGGCCAAACTTGTATTGATGACTCCTGTTCTTCTCACCAAGAGTGCTCCTTCCCCTTAACCCCCTTGGTTACTTTTCCTTCGCTTATTATTACAAATATTATTATTGCAATTATTATTATTACGATTATTATTATTAATCGTCATAATTCATGCCTTTCATGCAAACATCCCCTTAATACTATTGATTTTTTTTATTTATACGCACTTATTATTAGTGATGGACTAGATAGCGTGCGCTTTTCGACTACTGCGTTACATTTCCCTTATTAATAATAACTCTCGTTTCTGTAAAAATTTTATGCCAAGAGTTTGTGGAAACTATCACAATGATTTACCTTTCGAACACTGAATCTGAGAATACAATCTTATTGACAGATAATACACATAACTAACTATTTGGATTTGTGGAATTTTTAAACATAAACACATCTATAATTGTATATATTGTTGGATTTATATGTTCAAGTTGCTCCAAGGCAGTGACTTTATGGTTGAGATATCATTTTAGTTAACTGTGCTGAACTATATTGCGTGTTGTTGTATTGTATAGTTGTTGTCGCTTTTTGCCCTTTTTTCTGTGAACTGTTTCCTTTTGTTGGTGTTGTTCTCATTGTTTGTCCGTTATTTTCCGATTTTGAGGGGAGCAACCCAAAAAGTCGCTTCTCTTTAAACTTTAACTTAATGTAATCATTCCTTTCTCAGGCGTGAGGCTAGCAACCCCACCCTGTAAACAAAATTGCTACAGAAACTTCAGTACGATGAACCTCTTTGCACCAAAAGATACAATAATAAATAATATCATTAGTGATATTATCTCAATATATGCCTCCACATGTTTCATTTCAAATATTCGTTATTTCATTATGAACCTCTCATTGCAGTTTTACTATCTGCTGTTTACCACAGACCACTTTGTACTAGCCAGTCACTCACCTGACACCTTTTATAACCCTGAATTGACTTACCTGTCAATTTTCCTATCCCACACTCTACAAATCTATTATGATTAGTCACTACCATCTTCTCTCTCTCCTATTTCACAGTATTTTGTAATCGATTTCAGCCTAGCACGATGTTTGTCAGACAAATACAACTATTTATTTTGACATCCCATAACACTAATCTGTTATCCCACGTTAAAAATGTATCCGCCGCATAACAACTGGCCTTTATTGTAAGGACCACGAATATTATATTTTATCATTGTAAGAGCCTGAAGTAGAGAAATTGCTGAAAAGAATATTCTTCGTTCAGATTGACTTTTAATTCATCTCATTTTGTCCCATGTTCACATAGACCATGCATAATAAAAACTGACTGACTATGGTTCCATCCCGTATTATACTTGTTCCACAATACACTTTGTGATATGATTCTAATTCGCCTTTACTGACTGGATGGCTGTTGTATGCTTAAATTAATGGATTTATAATTGGGCAGCTTGAAGAAGAAGAATTTATTGAAACCGCAATTGTTCGCTCTAACTATTTTGTTGTTCTGAATAAATTCGACTTCACTTAGAAAGCCATTCAGTAAAACTAGGGAGTATCAAAACGACTGATTTGTTCTACTTTGAGAGTCTTAAGCAATACCCACTCATCATTATGTCAGGAATCGAACCCAGGACCTTGATGGTTACACAACGATCTTGTTAACCAATCGGGTCAATCCATCAATATCCCTACTCCAGACCCGATTTGATGGTCTCCATTGTGATAGTGATTTCTCACTTGTATACAACCCTTCTGGAATTTAAAGAATCCCCTAAAACGACACAGAAATAAGCGTCCAGTACTCTCTCGCTCTCTCGCTCCCTGATAACAGTCATTTCAATGATCAAATCACTTCTTTTAATATCAAATCACCCAAATCCTTGTAGGAAGAAGCTAATGCCTTAAGAAGTTAATTTCTCCAAAATAATAGACGATATGATTGGTCGATTGGTTAACCAATCAAAAAATTGCAAAAAGATTACAAACTGTTAAACTGAATATCCTAGTTGTCTGTGTTTATTAATCATGTACAGTGTGTGTGTGTGGGTGGGTGGATGATTATTACATAAACAGGAAGTAGACGAATAATCATAATAATAATTATTATTTTAATTTTGTTACTATTTCAATTAAAAAAGTAAAGTAATTAAAGTGACAATAAAAGCAATTAAATCGAAAAAAATATCTTGAGTTTACAAAAATCAGTCATTTCCTACATGTATTTATGTGTGGCTGAATTGTTAGATAGATAGATAAGTAGATTGATGGATAGACAGACATACACACTTCAGACACAAAGATAGGTAGACACACACCACACATGCACGGGTGCCTGCGCAAAAACACCCACACGCACGTATTGATAGCTTGCTAGATAAATAGATACATACATTGGATAGATATACAAACACACACGCACCCACACACACGCATAAACACTTTGTAAACTTACAAGGGAAGTAGAAAACGCGGGGAATTATAAATAACAGTACTACTATTAATAATAATAATATTGCACAATTACTAGTGAGATTTGGATAATTATTTCAGTTGTTGTATTATTTTATTTTATTTTTTGAAAAATCTTGAAAACATAATTGTGTTTTGGTGACAACATCTTTTGTAAATAATAATAGTAATAATCAACAGTCATAACAAATCAGTCAAGATTGGAAATATTACAACATTATATAAAGGCTCAGTGAACTCAGGTATTCATTCATTCATTCATTCATTCATTTTTGAGGATAATATGTATATGTATATCTTTTCGAATCGAATGATGATCAGAAGAGATTTATTGAAGTCACCGGTGTGTTCAAAGAATGGAAGCTTTTAATTTGCCTATTTGAGCACAGTATAAACGACTCAGAGTCCAGTCACGCACACACACACACACATACAAACATTTAAATGACAATGAAACTGACGAGGAATTCATTTTGTCACAGATTTTTTGAAAAAGTGACTTTATCATCAAGATTATGAGGCATATTTGGCATAACAGGAATAGTAGTAATATAAAAAGTATAAAAAGTAAGTCCTGGGCATGTTTTTTAAAAATTTGTACTAATATTACGTAATATTTTTGTTAAAATGCTCATTCTATTGTTGTATGCTTGTGAGAAAAAAGAAAAGCGACTGAGCAAAGGATGTGGTTCTTGTTGATAACTAACGCTTCTCCCCTCAGGTTCTACAGTTATATACATTCATAATATACATACATTGGAGCATAGAAACTATTAATAAAAGACGGTTGTAGCGAAGAAAGCTTTCTTTTCGACAAAGTCATCAACTAAACTGCACATTATATATATATATATATATATATATATGTTCAAACCAAGTTCACTTTTAACAGTTTGAAAAAATTTGAGCATTGGGTATATGATATTCATTGTAATAAAGGTCTTTTTTGTATTTCCCAATAAATGGAAAACAAAACGATATTGTCATTGTTTTTACCGACGTTTCGCTATTTAATGCTGCTGCTAATAGCTTTATCAAAGTAGTAATATTAAACCGGAATTTACAAAATCCACTCAGGATATATATATATAACAAAGAGTTAAGAGGTAGGAGAATAGACTACTTAGGTCAAGTTAAAAGGAGGACATATTGAAAGTCAAAATAACAATGAAGATCACTTCACCAAATAACAAGGATAATAGTACATCTGTGCATCGGTGGCACAGTGGTTACGACTCTCACCGACCATGCACATGGTCCGGGGTTCGAGCCCACGCCGACACACACCTGATATCTATGGTCGGCCTGCGAAATTTGGGCTACCGATATCCATGCTGAAAATTCCATACTTGTACTAAAAATACAGTGTGGAATCAAGGTGTAATCAAAAATAATAAAAAGTAATAATAAAATAAAATAACAAAATCTGTTATGATATAAAAATACAGTTTACTAACTTGATCATCGTTCGTTTACCTGTCTGGGATCGCTTTTCGTTGTCAAGTTTGTCAATTGGTAAAGATAACAAAACCAGGTGTGTAGATTGTTGGATTTGATCAGTGTGTAAAATTATAAAAGCAATGTATGTTTACAAATTGCTTGAACAGAAATGATGCACTAAAACAGAATCTAACCTGGTTACAACACCTCCCTCGCCTCCACCATGAAGTGACAAAATCAACACGAATATGATGAGCAAGTTCACTATGTAAACCCACACTACTTTTACAATTTTACACACTGATCAAATTCAACAATCTACACCTGGTTTTGTTATCTTTACCAACTGGCCAATTGGACAAGGAAAAATGACTCCAGACTGACGAACGATGATCAAGTTAGTAAACTGTATTTTGATGTCATAACAGACGTACTATTACCTTTGTTATTTGGTTTATTTATTTTTTTGAATACAGCTTGATTCCACACTGTATTTTTAGTGCAAGTATGGAATTTTCAGCATGGATATCGGTAGCCCAAATTTCGCAGGCCGACCATAGATATCAGATGTGCGTCAGCAGGGGGTCGAACGCCGGACCATGTGCATGGTTGGCGAGAGTCGTAACCACTGTGCCACCGACGCACAGTGATGTTCACTGCTATTTCGACTTTCAATATGTCCTTTTAACTTGACCTAAGTAGTCTATTCTCCTACCTCCTAACTCTTTGTTATAATATATATCCTGAGTGGATTTTGTAAATTCCGGTTTAATATTAGTACTTTGATAAAGCTATTAGCAGCAGCATTAAATAGCGAAACGTCGGTGAAAACAATGACAATATCGTTTTGTTTTTCATTCATTTATTGGGAAATACAAAAACCCTTATTACAGGCTATACATTCGTGTATTTATAGTACATGTGCGAGAAAGTTCCAGAATTATTTTCGGTCAGAGCTCAGATCACTAAATAAAATTACTAAGTGTACTCAACAGAAGATAGTTAGTGGTACTGTTCTAGAAATATTTCAGGTCAAAGGTCAAATTAAAAATTCCAATGTGTAACAATCAGGAAGATAGGGTATAAAAGACAAAGTAGGATCATAATCACTTGAAAACTCGTCAGTTTGTATAAATTTGGATCAAGGAAGTAGCAATAACGAAATGGAGAGAGGGTTCGACAAATACATAAAAATAGAAACAGTAACCAATATAATAATAATAATAATGCGTAAAAATGACAGAAATAAACAGGAAGGTTGAACAAGAAAGGTAATAGGATAATCACTGTTAGTGCGACTGACATTTCATGATGGCCAGCGTAGGGACAACGGTTGAAAGTATTTCATTTGGACACATAGAATAGGTTTAAGTTTTTGGATCATCATTGCCTCAGCTATTTATTTTAGATATCTTGATTTCATCCCCTTTGGCGGGTTGGATCGGATATAATGTATATGGCTTTGAAGGACTTTTCATATAGAGACGGATGTCTAGAATTCACCGGATGTTCTGTTATCGAAGTGTACATCCCTTTGCTGGATAGTGTTCCCGCGTGCGTTTTACACGCGGACGCATGGTACGACGAATGTACTCAGCTCCACACGAGCAAGTGAACTTGTATATTCATTTTGAAGTGCGACAGCGTGTCTTTCAAGTGTTGCATGAGTAGTTTCTTGCAGGAGAATGTTATTCGTAGGCTGGCGGCAACGTATATTTTACTGAGAGACTTCGAAAGCAGTCTGTGGAGCATTTCTGCTTTGGTGTCACTTTTAAATTTGAGGTTCAATATCAGCATTTTTGATGGGGGGGCGGGAACTTGGACGTTTTCAGGTGTTTTCCTTGATTTTTCGATTCTTGTCTATGAATCTGAGTGAGAATCCATTTTCTGTCGAGGTTATTTGGAGATTTTGTAATTCTTCATTGATTGACACTTCAGTGCAAATCTTCCGGATCTTCGAGGAAATAGAGTATATTAGGTGTCTCTTTCTGTTTAGAGCCCGTTCCATGTGGACTTTTTATAGATGAATCTTCTTAGCGAGTTGTCCGCATTCCTTCGTAGTTACACGTTAAGGTAATAAAACATTGGGTTAGACACAACTTCCACGGCGAGGTCGATTCATTACTAATACTTAAGCAGTTTGAAACTTCTTTTTTTGACACGAATTTAAATAAATTAAAAAAAACCAAAATTTTTTTTTTTACAGGAAACGACTAGTGAAGAGGTTAAGACCAAAGTAGAATAAGAGATTGGACAAACATTTTCTGCATACAGAGTTCAGGGTTGTATTGACGAATTGCCAGCGCCTCCGCCATACACAAAAGCCGAAACCTGATGCTCTTTGTACCATTTGGTCTCACAGTGTAGAAAAATCTTGAAAGACGATGACTGTGGTGGAGCAAGGTGGCCTGAATTCACCAACTGCTTGAGAATTGAGCTAGTGGTTGTCTTGCATTGTCCCTTTGCTAACCATGCCGGATAATTTTCAGAGATGCGTTTGGAAAGCGTGCACTTTGTGTGGTCAATATAACTAGCTCCACAAGAGCAGGTGAATTTATAAACAAAAACTGAAGTGGCTCAAAGCACAGTTTATCCTTCACACATCGATTGATTATTTGTTGGTTGTAGAAATACAGATCTTTCCATCATGTCATCATTCCTTTTCACTAGAGAAACGTCTAGTAATTTGACAGTGTCATTTTTCTCGTGTCATAATGTGAAGCCGAGATATAGACAGCATGAGTTGACTCTTATCAGCAGGTCTTCATCTTTTCATCTGCTTTTTTTTTCCTTCACGTTCCCCAGTGGAACATAGGCGGCTTCAAGCTAGCGGCTTGAAGTCTCTGTAGTAGTGTTTAATTTTTACAGGATGCGGTTGCTAGCCGCATGTCCAACCTTTCATCTTTACCAAGATTATTCCTGACATAGCGAGCGAGGTGAAGGAGTGTGTCAGTGGCCGGCGATCGAACCCCAGACCATGTGCATGGTCAGGGGGCGTCCTAACTGCTATGCCACCGATGCTGCTTGCACAGATACAATAAAATTATCATCAACATTTCTTGTGTATATATAATTCCATATGTTGTATAAGCTGTTGCGAAATCCCCGGCTTCTAGGCTTGATAAGAATAAATCCGCAAAAAAAGCGTGTTGCTAAGGGGCTTCCCATTGAAACACCATCAACTTGATAGAATAGACGTCCATCGAATTGCTTATTTTAAATTTTAAAACTATTAATCCCTTTGATAAATTTGAATAAGGCATTTAGAGGAGAAATTTCGTGAGATGATATCGTCATTTCGTAGTTTCTTTACAATCGCTTTACAAGTAGCAACATGGTTCACAATAATAAGGTAAAATAAAAGCCATGATAATTACTCAGTTATATAAAAAACAGAAGTACATACATCGTCTTACTATCTACATCAAGAAGTTAAGACATTTTGGTATAACCCAGCCCTTTTTCCTACAATTCGTTAATTCCTGCATCCTGCCTATTATTCTCTACTGTTCCCCCTTAGTTTATCCAGGGCTGGCTACTGAAGAAAGACTATACCTTATTACGCAGGATGTTAAAGGTTTTCGCCAGGGCAAGCAACGTGTCACATAACCAGCTTGTTAATATTCTGGTCGACAGCCACTTGAACTCATGTGAAAAATGGGCTAAATTCATTTTATCTATCTATCTATTACACCACCCCCTTCATTCACAACTCTCTCCTTGTATCTATGTCATCACACAGAACCAGAAGCCTATATAGAAAACTATATGCTCGCACTAGCAAGTACAGAAACTCAACCATACCTTACTTAGCTCGTGTTGTTCTGTGCGATAAAGAAGAAAGCATTAGGCGTGATACCTATAACTTATTAAATGGTCAGTAGAACAATTGGATCTCGTCTTTCCAACTCATATCATCATTTACAGGTACGACGTTTTCTTTCTTTCTTTTCCTTTTTTTCTGTTATGTGCTGCTTTTTTTCTTTCTTCCTTACAAACTCTATTAAAAACATTTGTCTTTGTTCTTTCATACTCCGTATATCTCGACCTTCTTGTTACCGCTTACCCCAGTAAAAATTATGCAAGCATCGACTTTTCTAACACCTTCAAACACTCTGTTTACTTTT